GTACTATAAATATAGTACTATAGAAATCTTATTCATGCGGTATGTTAATTTATTTGATATATTTTGTATTCAATTACTGAATTATCTCTAAGAAATTATTTACTATATGTAAGGAAATATATACTATTTTATTTAACGTTTTAAATAAAAAAATCTAAATAATTATTCAATTGTGAGCTATTTGTACAAAAAGAAGAGTTCTCAAACTTTTTTCCATCTCAAATTTAAAGTCGTATTCGTAAGTCGTGCAGTCGTCTGAAATGTGATTAGACCATGTCAAGATCCCTTGCATTACGTCTCTTCTAGAGCGGCTGTACAAATAAATATCCTTGCCCTACATTTTCTTTGAAATTGACGTATAAATTGATGTTAATATAAGGTATGCAAATATTTTTAGAATTATAATTACAATGAAAAATGCCAATGCAGAAAGTCACATTTACCATTGCACCAATTATTTTATTCTCAAGAGTGGAGTTGTCGGGAAAAGATAAATTAATGAGAAGCGAAGATTATAGAGTGACGGGTAACGGAAATAGAAAATTTAATCAAACGCGCAAAAACAGAAAATATCGCTCCTCTGATGAAAACGCCTACACATACGTACAAACATTTTCCTATGCTCCAAATAAAAAGCGTGGAAGCCATGGATTATTTATCGCAAGTACAGCATTAAAATTTAAACAAAAACTTCGGCATTTCTAGAGCGGCGTTTTTTAAATTAATTTTTGATTAATTTTTTTATTAATTTTTTCGTAGGTCTTATATCTACACATGAGCGCGGCATATTTTCAGAATCATTGCAAGTGTGCTCAGTCATCCATTTTTTTACAAGCGTCATAAAGTCGAGTAGCGCTTTTTTTCGATTACTGATTTTTCTCCAATGATTCGGTTGCAATCACGGATGACAGATAGAGAAAGTAATTTCTTTCAAACTGATATCTAGGAATAACTAAAGCTAAAAAGAAAAAGAAGTATATCGCGCGTTCAATACGCATGTAAACTGTGTCATTAGTCGTGAAAACATCATTAATATGTAATAATCATAGAAATTTGTATCCAAACGAGATGTAATATTATCAATAGGCCTATACACAATGCATTGCTTTCATGGATCTACATTAGGTATGCAATGTGCTCGATGTAAGAATTAGAGAGCTAGTTTCTCTACTCGCGAGATTTTATCATAGCACGCATGCAGTTTGCTACTATCTGCTGCTCTTTCTTTTTCTAATCCATCCATAAGTATTATACATTAGAATCAGCAATACAACTACTGGAATGTTGCCAAATCATATATGCTCCAATGGAATCGAATCCGCTGAGTTTGCCTCATCTTAATTTCTGCTACATTTTTTACGAATCAATGAAAAAATATGTGTATACATAAGTGAGGGTGAAGACTAAATTATTGAAGAATAATTTTTAATTTTTGGAGCGATAATGTTTTATTAATCTCGTACCTAAGGCTTCTTCAAGTTCTAACTTCGAAGAAGATGTGGTTTCATATTTCCGATTGTATATTTTGCTTGTTATTTATAACGAATTCGGTTGGACGCACCAGTGCGCACTCAATGCACATTAAAGTGGTTGTACACTGATTTAATCTCTAATATTTAAAGTAAAATGCAAATATTTCGACTGATAAAATGCCTAATATATATTTTACCAAATAGTACAATAAAGAATATTGAGGATTTCGTGACTTAATCCATTTATAACAATGGAAATATTAATCGACTCTACTGGCCATTATAATCGCCAAGACAATACGACCACGATTTGGTTCGATTATCGTCAAGACGCTTTTTTAATCAATATAAATTGATGTAATCTTTGATACTTATATATAAGCATCTCATTTAAATAATTAAATTTCTTGCGAGAAATATTACCTCAGCCAGGGTTTGAACCTGCATGAAACCTCCCTCATTTCGTGAAGAGTGTCGTACCAATTCGACCAGTGAGGCATGTGGTAATATTTATCGCAATAAGCTGTATTAAACTAAACAATATTATTCCAACCATAGTAACTGTGCGCCAAAGAAATCGTCAGACTTGAAACACAATTTTGGTTGGCGTAGTAAATTATTTTTAATAGACATAATATATAAGATGGAAACAGCGAAAATGTTTAAGTCAAAGGTGTATATTCAAACAGAATAAATCACTTTTACTTTGCCAGTCAAATAATAAACAACAATGGAAATATTAATCGACTCTACTGGCCATTATATTGTCTTGGCGATTATAATGGCCAGTAGAGTCAATTAATATTTCCATTGTTGTTTATTATTTGACTGGCGAAGTAAAAGTAATTTATTCTGTTTTAATACATTTATGTATTAAGCATACACTTTAGGTTAATTGGTGTACGATGGCGTTAATGTGCACTGAGTGCGCATTGGTGCGTCCAACCAAATTCGCTATTATAGTTACACACTAACGCTACAGACGACGAAATATTTTGGCACTCTCTTAAGTGGTACATTTGCCGGTACATAGATCCTAATCCTATTTTATCCTACTCTTCTTAGTCTTGTTTACAGCCTTTAAATTTAGATCGGATTTATGGCAGGCAAGTTATAAATCCCTTCATCCGTACACTACTACACTGTCACTCATGAACGAAACAGTGTATATGTACAGTATCCGATGAGTTATGTTTAATGTCACATCGCTTTTGTGGAACAAGTTCGTGAAATGTCAACGTTAAATATAACTACTTAATATATATAAATATATATTCAAAGATTCACATGAATGCGGGGGAAACATTTCTGATTGATGTTTGATACAAAGCCTTTTTGCTTTTGTTACGTTATTTTTTTGCACAACTCGCCATCTTTACGTCATAGTTATCCTTTCTAAAGCTAAAGCTCAGAGTTTACAATGGCATGGCAAAGACAGGTCAAAAATGGGGAATGATATAGTGAAGCAAAACACGGAGAATAGCGTGGCCCATGGCCAATTGAACTTTTTGAAGCAAAACATATATATAGCTATGATTTATCGATCCTAATCAATAATAATTCTACTCTACATCTCGTAATTTATTTGTAATAATTGATATTTCTTTGTAAGGATAATTATTATTTTAGCTTTTATTAAAATTTATTGTAAATTTTGTTTCAGTCTTCCATCTTATTGTTAGACTTATCAACTTTTTTTTATCAAGAGAAACAGCCGTAATACATTGAAACACAACATTGTACAAAAGGTTCAGTTAGCAATTTGTCAATCCGTATCGGAGGATTAACCTTATCATTGCTTGACTGATATTCCTGCACAATAGCCAATGGCATATCTCCTATGTGAAATATTTGGTAATCGATTAAAGGTTAACGATATATGCCCGTGATTCGTGAAATGCTGTAACGGCACTCATTTAACATTTAAAACTATATCGAAAATTGCGACGATCTGTAAAGTGCTTACAGGATCACAAATTTCAAAAGAGCACTACGAGTAATACGTTCACAAACAACTTTGTGAGCTCACTTTATGTAGTTCACTTTACTTCACAGGCGCGAAATACGATCTACCAATAAGGATTTAAAGGATATAAAGCTGATTACAGGAACAAGTTGTCAAAAGTTGATTTAGATTTTGATTAGTTTCTAAAAACTTTTTAAGACGATAAAGCAAATGAGAAATTCACGAGTTCATTTCTGACACGTGTCATCCAAATTGCATTCGTTTGCAAGCGATAATTATGGATACATATTGTTATAGTTGAACTTTTGATAATATAAATAAATTTAATAATATTAGTTTAGTTTAGTATTTAATATAAGTAATAATAAGTAATAATAAAAGTAAATTTTTACAGTCACGTAAACTGTCTTACATTATTCATATGTATAGAATTCTAAGTACTTTATTACAATTGTAAAAACTGTATTTATTTAATTACATTTTACCAAAATTTTCAAATTTTTATATTCTGGTTTAAATATGTGTTCCAAAGAAATCTAATTTTGATATTAGCACAAATAAGAAGATTTTTTAAAAGATTAAATTTATATATAAAAAAACAACAACATGTAAAAAGATCTACATAAACTTACCAATTAAAAAAAAAACTAGAAAAAATAAAGAAGAAATAAATATGGTATTAATTAATCAAAAGAACAAATTCAAAAACCACTTAATACATGTAAGAATAAATATGTGATAAAGAAGGATTTTAATAAATATATTAATTAAAATGGATTAATAAATATGTTAATTTAAAAATGTAATTTAAAATGTAAATGTTAATTTAAAAATGTAAAATATGTTAATTTTGAAATATTGCTTTTCATGTGTGTATTTTTTCTTTTTTTGTCTTAATATCCAGACATATATATCTCATATCATGTGCAATTCTACCTAGATGAGAGGATCAATTAATTCATTAGATATTTCTCAAAAAAACTTATATTTCTAATAAAATATTATTATCTTGTAATTTTTAAATAAATATTGCTTTTTATAGCTAACAAACTATGTGCTTTCAATATGCAAAAAGTACAAAATGTTGCAGAGAAAAAATTAAAAAGAATAAAACGTGAAAGATATATTATGCCATTTGGTCTCATTTATTATCTGTTAAGTTTTAAATATGTACATTATTTGTATGTGTATAAAACACTTGGAATATCTGATGTTTTATGCGTTCAACACAAAATACATTAAGTAGTAATAAATTGCAACATCACGTCAGATATTATAATCAATACCAGAGTTTATAATTTTAATTATAATATTATAAGGATTATAATCACACAGTCAATTTAATAAATGTCCGATTCTGGAGTATTTAACGTTATTTATTCACATTATTATCGATGATGTTATTTCGTGTTTTTAACATAATACTTTGAACATTGTCTCTTTTATGTGCTTATATATTGAAAATAAAGCTTTTTAGCGTTAGCAGAACATAAACCAATAATAAATAAATTAGTTTCAAGCTTTCTGTACATAAAAATCATTAATTTCTTTTCATTTTACAGCTAGTGCATGTAACTGTCATTGACGTTGGAGGCTCTATTTGGATAACGAATAAGAAAGATCAAAATGTAAAGAGAATCATTAGCGGCAAAGAAGTGCTTGAATCGGAACGGAATAGCTATGTCGTGGCCATATGCGACAAGTGCCTCGCCATCCTCCTCGATTACAATGTTTATGATAACAACAGGATTAACTCCATTGGCATTAATAACAAATTACACGGAAGCCAGTGACTTTGCAAATACTACAAAAGATATTAGCGAGGAAGAAAAATATATACCGTTCAGCGAGCGGCCAGAAACGTATTTTGTACCAATCATCTTTTTTTTTATCCTGATAATCGGCCTCACTGGAAATGGCGTACTGGCTCTTACGATCCTTCGACACAGAAATATGAGAAACGTACCTAATACGTACGTCCTCTCGCTGGCGTTGGGGGATTTATTAGTACGTAACATATTTTTATATACACATATAAACTGCATTTTATTCAATTTATATCGTCAACCATCTGTTAAGTTAAAATCTCAAATCGAAATCTGATATTTGATCAGTTTGTACTGTGACAGAACAGACCGCATCCGTCAATCCAGATTTTCTCGTTAAAAAGCGGCAAATATCTGTCATTGTAAGTTCGTGTAAGCTCATCGCGACGCGTACCACATGTAACATTGACGAGATCGTGTAAGCTACTTGTTTGTGTGACAAAAAAAAAGGAGCGTTTTAAACTCAGGGACGGCCAATCATCGAACAGGGAAGCTGTTATCTGAAATTCCAGGATTGCAGATATAAGAGCTGGTTAATATTAGAGGCTAAGAACCGCCTTCAGGTCGCGTTAACACTGTATTGTTTGGTATGCATGGCTGAGAGGCGTGAGTCGAACTATCCACATTACATAGGATTCGCCGTGAAGCGACGGTGCGAGAATCGACTCACGCTACTGTATGTATCTATACCGACGTCATACTGAAACCGATCGATTTTGCTCTTCTACCTGATGTAACCAAGTGCACTAAATCTGATAATAAACTAACACTTGCTGTCCATTGCAAATGCAAAATGTTATACATATATATACATACAAATGTTATATATATATATATATATATATATATATATATATATAACATTTTGCATTTGCAATGGACAGCAAGTGTTAGTTTATTATCAGATTTAGTGCACTTGGTAACATCATGCATACCAAACAATACAGTGTTAACGCGACCTGAAGACGGTTCTTAGCCTCTAATATTAACCAGCTCTTATAGCTGCAATCCCGGAATTTCAGACGACAGCTTCCCTGTTCGATGATTGGCCGTCCAAGAGTCTAAAATGCTCGTTTTTTGTCAAACAAGTAGCTTACACAATCTCGTCAATGTTACATGTGGTACGTGTCGCGATGAGCTTACACAAACTTACAATGACAGATATTTGCCGCTTTTTAACAAGAAAATCTGGTATCGACGAATGCGGTCTGTTCTGTCACAGTACGGACTACTCAAATATCAGATTTCGATTTGAGGTTTTAACTTAACAGATGATTGACGATATAAATTGAATAAAATCTACATCGAGCTTTTAGTTGTAATCGAATCTAATTTCCCATTGCATTCTGTTATAGGTAATAGTGACATGCATACCGTTCACCTTTACGGTATACATCTTGGACTCCTGGCCTTTCGGTTTAGCATTGTGTAAACTTTCCGAATGCGCTAAGGACATATCGATTGGAGTTTCGGTTTTTACATTAACTGCGCTGTCAGCGGACCGATTCTTCGCAATTGTAGATCCAATGAGAAAATTGCACGTGACAGGTATAAAACTATAACGATAACAGATATCTTTCTCAATACCAATTATTAAATAAAATAGAATATTTTTTATAAAAACAAATAAAACTTGTATTCTTAAGAAATAAGAATAAGAAATAAAGTATTGTAATTAAATTATCTGATTATTTATTTCAGGTAGTGGAAGACGAGCAACACGCTTCACTGCGATTGTTGCGGGACTAATTTGGGTTTTGGCCATAATATGCGCGATTCCGGCTTCCTTTTCGTATCTCAGGTTCTTCCAGGTCAATGAAAACATAAGCTTTTACGTAAGTTGGATTATCCTGCTCGTAACTAATCCTGTTTTAGATCTAGCCTTTAAATTTGTCACTGACAGCTATATGTAAATTGTTAATACAAATGATGTACTTCTCTATTTGTCTATTTTATAAGTTGTGTAGTAAAAACCTAATAATTTTGATATATACATATAGAACACATACACACACACCACATATATGTCATATAATTGCAGGCCTGTTATCCGTTTCCTGAGGAATTTGGACCAAACTATCCAAAAATGATACTAATATGTCGCTTCTTCATCTATTATGTTATACCTCTCAGCATCATCGCCGTTTTCTATATATTGATGGCCAGACATCTTATACGCAGTACGAGAAATATACTCGGCGAAGTACAAGGCCAGGTAACTCGCATACATTTAATTACAATTTAATTATATGCGAAAATACTAAGACGTTTCATCAAAATTTAAATCCTCTTTTCCTATTTATGATATAGATATATATATCTATCTATTTCTATCTTTATTTCTAAATTCTGTCTTATCATCCGTGCGCAATATCAGTTCAAGATTTACTACATTGTTTTAGTCTCGAGTTAGTTTATACAGTAAACATTGTGTATTTTTTGTGCGGATATTAATGTTCACTGTATTTTAGGTAAGGCAAATACAGGCCCGTAAAAAGGTGGCAAAGATGGTGATGGCTTTCGTCATTGTGTTTGCTGTTTGTTTTTTACCACAACACGTTTTCATGCTGTGGTTTTATATCCATCCAACTGCGCTAGAGGATTACAATGCATTTTGGCACTACTTTCGTATCTTGGGTTTTTGCCTTGCTTACACCAATAGTTGCATCAACCCAATCGCTCTCTACTTCGTGAGCGGTACTTTTAGAAAGTACTTTGACAGGTAAATTTAAAGTTGTAATATCTATCATAGCAGCGACAAATCGATTAACTCTGTCAAACGTTGCGGATTACGAATAGTAACTTCTTGCAAAAATAACTTTAAGAAATTAATGAATTTTTTTCTCTAGTTATGTCTTTGTATTAAAAATGTAACACATCATAGCTCACTTAAATAATTCAAAATCTTCTTTTTCTTTTCTTAAACCGTAAGTGAAAACCTTTCAAAAGAGTGCTGCCAATTTTATATAGGTTTTTAGTCTGATTTTTCATTAGTCGAAAATGCCAATTTTTTTGTGGATTAATAAAAGCTAATAACACACAGATTTAGAATACGTAGCTTATAAACTTGAGCCTTTTATGGTTTTGGAGCAAAATAGCCTAAAAGAGTTCCAATTCCAATAAAAATAGCGCCACGCAAAAAATCTCTCCTCCTCCCCTCCCCTACCTACATGAGGAAAGTAACGAGAAACCACTTCATAATTCATTTCCCATGAGAACTTGATGAGCAGTCACGATGTCTCCATCAGGAAGTTAGAGACTAAGGGGGAAGAAACAAAAACGTGAGGTCATCTGAGAAAATTGAAACTCTTTTGGGTCATTTTGTTTCAAAATCACAAGAGGCTTAAGTTTATGGAGTTATATATTCTTAATCTACGTGTTATTAGCTTCAATAATCTGCAAAAAATTGGTATTTTCGGCTAACGAAAAATCAGGCTAAATTTAACCGCGCTCCTTCCATTTTGACCGAAACTAACAATAGCTTAATCGATACGCTCAGTTGACTGACCATATCTAAACAATTTTAACTTGCGTCAGATACTTGTGTTGCGCCACGGAGAGAATGCGGAGACGACATCGACGATCGTCAGATCTAAGTTCGCGCGGACGAGGCGGGCAGAGCTTTTCACTGGTCAGTTCAAAAAGGTACATGGGTGATTCTCGTCGCGAACGAAGTGTGCAGCGCCTCTCTATCATGCCGGCTGATATACGATCTACGACTCCGATTAAAGAGCAAGAAACTACTATCACTCTATCAGCGTATCCAAATGGTATTGACGAGTCATCAACGTCAAGGAATCAACGAATCTCGACAACAGAATCAACAGTACACGATAGATTAGTTACTTAAACACGATAACAACGTCATATTTTTCATTATTGTATATATTGTATATATTTAATATAAAATAATTCTGTTATTTAATATCGATTAAATAAATTTATATTTTAATGGCATTTTCTTACAATTCGAGATTCAGATTGAATCGCTGATATTGCTGATATATTTAATCGTGACATTCGAAGCAAAAAGTAGTAAAAATTTTCATATTCCAGTTACGAATAATTAAAATTGTTAATATTTGGATTATATTTATTATACTAAAGTGACACGCTTACTTGACACAATTTATGATAATGTCGCACAAATAAATTTCTGTTTCGCGAATAAAATTCTATTTAAAAAAAAACATTTATATTTAATCATGCACAAAAAAAAGAATTATAATTTGAACATAAAACATTAATAATTAATAATAGTAAAGTTAGCTATAATTTTTATGAAGAATTTTAGTATAAGATATATCGTCTGTGTGTGTGACCAATAAATATTACATTCCGTCGAATAAATTAAAGTATTAATAGTTATAAACGAATGTATATTGCTATTTGTAGAAAATTATATGTGTAGAAGTCAAAATTATTGTCAAATAATTTAAATCATTATAAAGCGTAGTGAAAAAATAAAAAGAAATTATTTATACAAGTTTATGAAGCGATACAATATTGATCTCGATTGTTACATGGGAAAAATAAAGAATTCTGCACCGGCAAATACATTATATTTTTATGGTGTGTGTCTGTAATTAATTAGCGTATATCTATATTAATTAGTATAATATGTACAAAAATAAGGAATCTAAGAATTAAGAATCTAATAATTATTATTACATGTTAAGTACATGTTAGACTACATGTTACATGTAAGATTATTATTACATATTAAATGTTAAAGTATATATGTGCAAATTAAATATGGAATATTATAAACTGGAACTGGATATTTGTACAAATATTTCGTATCGTGTTTTCTTGTGACACAAAGATCTTTTTGTTCGATCTTTTCTCGTTAGAGGGAAAGATGCGGGCGCGCGGGTGGGGTTTACCACGCGCCCGCACTATAGACCACCCTTGATGGAGGAGCGGCGGGTTTTGGGATGATGTCCCCCATTCCGCCGCAGCATCAATAGACAGCTCAACTGAGCGGGAAAACGCGAAAGCGCTTTCTGGATAGAAGCCCAAACATGGGCCAGGCGCTGGAGGACCCCAAAAAATCAACGTTTCCCGGGGTTCCCCTCCAACAGGCGCCGTGAGGGACATCCGCAGGAGTTTTAGCCGGTAGGCTATGCGGGCATTATCGCGTGCGATATGCGCGCATAGAATCCAGCACTCCCCTCGCCTCTCCCCGGAGGTAGGGAAAGTCTTCCCCTTTTGGGGCTATTGGGTAAACCGGGCAACAGAAATCCCAGTAGTGGAAAATTTCTTTTGCGATAAAAAAAAAGAGGGAAAGGTATTACTAATTATTATTTCTTCGACACTTATAAGAATCTGATTTGTTATTTTATTCATTATGTTATCACAATTATTTTATTCATTAATAGAAACAAAACTAAATATGAAATTATTACCTTATTAATTTATTCAATTTGTTTAAATGTCATTAAAAAAATGAAATAAATTCCGCATAAAATAAAATATACATGTACATGTATGATATATACATCACCAATAAAAAAATTAATAGTGGGTATAAAAAATGTGTTGCAATAATATTTTTTTTTCGATCGAGTTATGACACATTACATTCAATATTAAATTTTTATTTTGATTTAATAAAGTTATTCTAGCAGCTGTTTTTTTAAACAACACTTTATTCTTTGTCGTATCTTTTCCTTTATTGTATCACTTTTACCTTTATCGTATCAATTGCAATGCAAAAGAAGTAGGTAGGTAGGTAATATGTGTGAGCATCAAATTTACAATCAATATAAATTTCTTTTCAGTTTTAAATGTAAAATAAATTTTTATAATAAATTTTGTTTACAAAACACGATATTAAGAAACTAAAAAAATAAATTTTTTGTACGTCTATAAAATTATTAGCAACGTATTTGTGTAGAAAATTTCTTTACAATGCCGATGAAATTACAGTCTATGAATATTCGTTATAAAATTGCTTCGTGTTCAAAACCAAAATTTACATATTTGTAAACAAATTGAGTTTATTATGCGATCTAACGGCTTTGTAAACAGAACAGCTACAGTACATTATATTTCTATGCAAATTCCTATTTCCATATTCTTCTATCATAACTAGAATATTAAATCGCTTTTCTTAAAGAAGAAGAAGATATTATATTTCTTTTAAATTTGTGATATTACTATTTAAATTATAAATAACTAATTTATATTACACAATAATTTATACTGTACAATACATGTATTACGTCGATAACGCAAAATATCAATAGTTTCAAATAGTAGTAAATGAATAATCAATATTTCTTTCAGCAAAAACGAAACTAATGATTGAGAGAGATATAAATGATAAATTCATATACTTATTATATATTGATGGCAATTCTTAATTAAAAAGCAGCATATGTACTGCATGTTATCGTTTATTGATAATTGAATGTCAATGTTTGATATTTTTCGTTACCGGTAACTTGATAGATATCATAGGTAGATATATTGTACCGTAAATATTAAAAAAGCTAAATTATTAACTGTTAGTGCATTACTGTTATTTAATAATTTGTTTTATTTATTTAATAAAGATTTAAGATATATCTGCATGTAACGTAGACTTGAATTAGATTGTTTAATTGTATTTCTCGATTTTTCTAAAAAATCCCTTCCTAAACAGTGCACGGTAAGCTTTTATTATTTATTCTGTAGGTAAAATATGTTTAAAATATTCAATGTGGATAGAGCTATATAAAGATTTTTCTTAGTAAATTCTATCACAGTAAACTTTTTATATACAACATAAATTTTAATTATAATTTTAATCATTTTAATCATTTACTTTGTCTATAAGAGAAAAAGAGAGAAAAAAATTATATGTATATATATTGTATGTAATAATTTTTTTTTTAATTGTTACACGCAAAAGTAAATTGAAATTACATTAACTAAAGATTATTATAGAATATAACATTTTATTTTTTAAAGTCTACCCGTTAAAATAAACACTCACAATATTGATTGTAAGTTATATCAGCAAATACGTAAAGCTTGCAATAGATGGCAACGCAGTGATGATTATCAATTGTATATTTTCACAAAAATTAAATTTTTCAGGCTAAATTCGAAGAGAAGATAAAAGATTAATGATTTAAAAATAATTTAGAAATAATAAATAAATAAAATTATCATAGAATTTTTAATTTAATAATTTTATTATTTTATTCATAATTTTAAGTTTAAAAAATTCTGAATTTTTAATTTTAAAATTCAAAATTCTTTAATTTTATTTTTAAAATTTCTTAAATTTAAATTTTTTAAAATTAAAAATAAGTTTAAGAATATATTTACAATTTTCTGAATTAAACATTTTAAATTTAATAACTTTTTTTAACTTTAAATAAACTTTAATCTTGGAGCTTATTAACATTTAAATTATAAATATTATTATTGATAAATTTGTGCACTATTAATACACAATACACACGACATATAAACTGTCAAAAGACGTGATAACAACGGCTCATGACACAAAGTAACATACAATATGTATGTATTTAGATAATTAACATCACAGAAAAAAGATAACAATTAGTATCTTTACTTTACATTCCTTTTTAAGGATGAGTAAGAATAATTGCGACCAAACTATAGTACGCATTATTTCATTACGGTAACAGAACATTGCGTGGCATCCAACAACATGGGAAGATAAGTAATTGCCTTATGTGCGATATATGAAGAATATTAGTTTATGAATCGCTGACCCCACTCGTCCGATTAATGATTAAAAATAATTAATCTCTCTCGCAAATTAAAGTCTAGCACGAATATTTCAATTGCCAAAAGCCAAAGAATTCAACCATATTTAAAAGATATATGTGTATATAATATATATACATATATATTTTATTTATAGATTGCGCAATATAAACAATTTGATCGTAACTTGTCTGAGTAAATTTTCAACTTGTTTATATCGCAAGCGTCTTACATAATACCAGGATATAGTTCTTATAGGAGCTTACTCTACAAATGAATATCTCCACAAGTATTTTCTCGGTTGCCCGAATTCGATGGCAATCGCAGCTTCGCAATAGTTTCTACCTCACAGCGTTAGTAATCTGATTTTGGTGCAGCGAAGCTTTACTGGTATCTTTATCTAGTATCTCTATTCTAAAAGACTTGAATGCTAGTAGACGGTATCTATTATGTATGTAACGGTAAATAAAAATACTTTCTTTGTACATACTGTTTTCGTTTACACATGCTTTTCACACAATGCTTGGGATTTTTTCGTAAAATAAATTGATGTTACACAAAAGTACAATTAAAAGAAAAATTTTTGTTTATTTCCTATATAAAATATAGTTTTTCTTTGAAATGTAAGCGTTGATAAAAGGAATCTTCTTTAAACACGTACATAAAAGAATAATCAAAAATGTTATTACGTATAAATTTTAACTTTTAATTTATTTTAAAAATGTCTTTATTTTTTATGTTTATTAATTTTATCTTTTATATATGCAAAAAAATATATAAAAATGATAAAAAAATATATATATATATATATATTAGAGCATAGTTAAAAATATATTTTTTATCACTGATCATTTCTACTGCTCTTGACGTATTGTGGCAACATATCAGATGTGCTACATTAAATGCACCATTATCGTCTTTTAAAAGATATTCGAGTCCCAGTTATAACACTTAGTTTTGTTCATATTGTCGATAGACTCAAGGAATGTCAGTCGATGTTAAATTATAAGTCACAAACGCGTTGGCAGAAATACATACATGCATATATTTTTATAATCAATTGTTCTATTTGATCTATACATGGAGTACATGGAAACTACTGCAACAACATGAGAATATATATATAGCTTGTAAAATAAAACAGATTATTGAAATTGTAAATGTAATATGAAATAGATTATTTTGTATTATATTTACGAAATTGTAATATGATTATTTTGAATCAATTATTTTCCATATTTGGTCTACGCGTATATGCGAGTATATCTACTTTGATATGTATTTCTGAATCTATTACTGTATGAAAAGATTATGTAAAAAAAAACGCTTATAATGTTTGATATTAAAATTTAAAATGAGTAAAACTCATATATGTATATTCAACTATTAATCGTCTAATTCGATCATATTAAAACTTCTTTCATCAAATTC